GCCAGGCCACACGAGTCAGCGGTCACCGCACCATCACCACACGGACGTGCTTCACACCCTCAGAGGCCGGACTTCTGTTTGGGAACGGCACGTGTCGGTACAAGCTCAGAGGCCTGCATCCCACACGCCCAGCGGAGGGGCCCGCTCCTCGGGGACAGTGTACGGCAGAACGCAGGAGGCACCAGGGCACACCGCCACCTGTGCTCAGGTTACCGACACGGACACTCCACCCGCCGCACCTGCCTGTGCAGCGAACTCAGCACGTGCTGGAAAAAGCACAGATGTTCAACGCGTTCTTTAGTTTTCATAGTGACTTCCGGGGGCTCCCCAAATTTTCACACATGATGAATTAAGATTTTTAGGTCCCTTGAAAGGGGGGCAGCGCTTTGAGCTCAGCAGCCCAGAGGCTGGTCCGGGTCCCCACTCCGGAAGCCAACGCGGGCGGAGACAGGCTGCGTGTGAGCGGGGCCAGCACTTGGTTGGCCGGCGTGGCCGGCTCAGGGGACTCCCCGCGAGTGGAAAGGGGGGTGGGCTCAGCGGGCTCCTTGGGCCCTTCTGAGGGCCACCCGACACGGAGCCAAGGGGAGCGCCAAACTTCAGGAATGGGGAAAATGGCTCTCCCTCTGCTCCCCGCAGGCGCCTGTCCCTGAGGGGACAGGGAAGGGGACAGGGAAGGGTGCAGGTGACACCTCCAGGCAGAAGGAACTAGCAGAGCTGGGGGAATATGCCTTCCAGACACCGAGCTCACGGCCCAAGGTCGAGGCTACACACGGAGCTGGGGAGCAGCTCTGAGCTCCCTGCTCTCTGGGGCACCGAGTGTCCCCTTCGCAGAGGACCCGCCTGCTATGCCCGAGGGCGCAGGCAGGACCGCCTGCTCCCACGCCGTTCCCTTCGCCAGACTGTTCCTGCCCGAGAGACGGCCCGGCCTTTCTCCCCAAAACAGCTGTTTTGGGGAGGTGGGCTTATTTTCATAGTAAGGGGCAGACCCACTGAAAATATTTGAAACACTGGAAGCTATAATTATTTTCTGTTAATAAATTTAAAGTTTTCAAAAATGAAAACGTCTGGGGTGGCCAGAGTGTCGAAAGGGACACCCGTGGAGGAACCTAGATGCCTCGGACAAGGACCGAGCGCCGAGAGCTGAGCTGTCACTGGGCCGGCGGTCTCAGCCCTGAGGGGCGCCCTCCGAAACGACGCAGGGTGCAGAGCCGCCCACAGAAGCGCTGACCCTGGAACAGGTCAGCCGACGGGGCAAAGAGCACGGCGCTGAACATCCAAACTGGGACAAAAGTTGCTGCTTCTCAACGGAATGCAATGCGAAACGTCGCGATTGTCTCGCAGAAAAAGTATCCAACAAGAGAGGACGTGAAATGGGCCCAATAAAACCCAGCTGTTCAAACTCACGGGCGCGCGCACACACAGGCACGCCCGGCCTTGACAGTAACAGCCCCGGGGGCAGGTGCCACAGGTGGTTTGTATTTCCACACCTCGCACCCTTCAAAAAACCCTCGTTCGCTTTTCTCCGGCGGACTCACAAGACCCAACTCGCCCATCAGAGCTTTACAGCCTGTTTTCCTTTTAGACAAACAAGTTTGCAAACCCCTCTTCCCAGTTTGCTTTTCCCCCGCATCGGGGCCGAGAGAGAAGGGGGTTCGTGCATCCCACTTCGCAGAATTTCCAACAGCCCTGTGCTACAACGTACACAGACCAACCCCCCGATTCCGGAGCCTGGCCCGTGGGGACGCCCACCCCCTGGTCCCCACCCTCCCCCGCACGAGCTCCAGGCTCAGCACCCATGTCCCTGGGGCAAAGCTACCCTTCCTCCCAAGGCCAAGCCTTCCGCAACCACAGGGCCAGCCTCCCTGGGGACCGCTCTCCCTCTCTGCCGCGGACGGAACCGCCCGGGGCCTGGCCGGGGTCAGGGAACACCTCCTCCCCGACCCACGAGTGAGGCCGACCCCCGACTGGGCCCGCATTCCACCGACCTCAGTCTCGCCATCCCGGGGAAGGCCTGTGCTCATCCTGTTCTGACCCAAAACTCCGGGGAGAGTTAAATAGGTCAGAAAGTACACGGCCGTTTAATCATTTTAAAAACATTCGCAAGTGCAGAATGCCGTGGCATCACGAGCACATCACGAACAAAATAAAAGCCATTTGTATGCATTAGCGACACTCGGGCTAATTCCAGCCGGCGCAGTCATCAGCAGGAGCCCCGGGGGCGCAGCACAGCCACGGGGCCAGCCGCTGCACCGGGAGGGGCGGAGACAGCCGTTTCTCACATTGTCGTCGGCCGAATCGGTTCTGGGCGCAGGCCAGGAGTCTCCCCAGGAGGACCACCACGGAGGGCGGCGCGAGGCTGGAGCCGGGCGTCTCTGTGCGTGTCCGAGAGCGTGTGGGGGCGGGCGCTCCTCGTCTCCCGCCGGAGCAGCACCGCGGGAAGACCCCCGACCCGGGCGAGAAGCCGCCGGGAAGACTGTAGCCCCAGCCGGCCCGACGCTCCGCAGCGCTGCGCAGCAGCAGATCGTTTCTTGCTGCCCGCTGTTCGCGGGGACATCCATCTTCATCCGCACGTCACGACGGCGCCCCCTGCCGTCTTGTTTCTGAACGAGTCGGAAGGCCTTTCCTTGTGACGGTTCCTTCCCCCAGGATCACAGACGAGCCGGGAACGGTCAGCTCTCACCAACTCCACGCTGCCGGCGGCGGCGGCGGCTGCAGCACACGGGCCGCGCCGACAGTTCAGACAATCGCTCTGCCGGAAACAGCTCACTCCCGACGGGCGACTTGAAGCAAATCAGCCGATACTCTCAGGAGACAATTCCCCTCTGAAAGGCCCGGTCCAGGCCCCAGGCCCCAAGCTGGGGGTCCAGTCCAGGGGGAGCGCCTCTGGGCAGGGGCCGAGACTTTTCTGAGCCTCGACGTCCAGCTCTGAACGTACAAGTGTTTTTCCTCCCTCCGGGCTGGAAATGGACCCTGCCGGTTACTGGTTCCAAGGCCGGAGTCCAGTCCCACTGCAGGAGCAACTGCTCTGACCACTAACAAACGAATGGGTGATTTGACCACACACACGTGCTACATAATCATCATACAAAGCATGCAAAATAACCGCCACTTTGCTTTTAAACTCATGTTTGTGACGGCGCTCAGAGGCTGAGACCACAGTCGGCACAGAAGCTGCGATAGCACAGGCGCCGTCCCCCCTGCAGCCCCCGTGACCTGAGCCCCTCACGGGAATGGGCTCCTTCTGACCTCCCAGGGAGCGTGCACGCAAGCCCCGCTCAGCCTGCGCGGACCACAGGGAGCGTGCACGCAGCTGCAACCAGTGAACGGCCACCTGAGGCGGCCCTGGCAACAGAGGCCCTTGGGTGCTGCCGACAGTGGCGTCTGCAAAGGCGCTCCCTCCTCATCTCCCCTGGCCGGGGCTGCAACCCGACCACGGCAGTGCGTGCTCCGCACCCGGGCCCCCGCCTGCCCCCCACCCCACTGCATCACCCACTCTGTGTGGGCGTGGGGCTCTCTGACCTTGCCCCCCCCAGGACGGGTTCACTCTGTGAGACCCATCCACGCGTCCTCGGAAGCTGCACGCTGGGCACAAACGCACCAGCAAAGCGATAGCAGTGCGACACACACTCACCCCACAGCTGGACTCGGTCCCTCCCGAGCTGGGGGCGAGCGAGCATTCTGTAAAGGCCAGAGAGCGGCCACCCCAGGCTCCGGGGGTCCCGGGGCCTCCGGAGCCGCAGCTCAGCTCTGCGGTGAGAAGCAGAGCGGCCCAGCTTGTGCGGCCCAGGCACGGCAGGGCGACCACCAGGGTCTGTTCTCGAAGACAGGCCGCTGGCTGGACTTGGCCCCCCACTGCACGGGCCCGGGGGTTGGGGCTCTAGGTCGGCAAACTGGGACCTGTCAGACCCCGGAGAAGCCCAGGTGCCTCCCTGTCCAGTGCCCCACGGTCTCACTGATGTTCGCAGAGCCACCCGGCGGTCCCCGCATGTGGCCCGAGCACGCCCCGTGAATGTGAGGGGCACGGTCCTGGAAAGTGAATGAAAGACTACAGCCAGTACCGCATTCCTGCAACGTCACCCGGAAACCAGTCTGGACAGTGAGAAGAAGGGCAGGTACATGTCCTGTTTAGGGGAAGTTACCGCTTTACCAACACGGGCATCTGCTCACCAGGGCCGGTGCACGGCACGGAGCCCGGGACCCCCGGGCGGCTGGGGCAGCCCCTGAAGGGCAACCCCACGCTGGCTGTCTGCTCCGCCTTGACTCCTGTGGCACCAGAGCAGGGAATGGGGGTGGGGGAGCAGGGGCAAGAAGGTGGGGGCTGCCACCAGAAGGGGAGGGGACCTGGGTTTACTTCCCAAGAGTCCCATCAGAAGCAGACCGGCTGCCGGGAACACGACCTCCCAGATGCCTCCAGGCTAGAGCCCACCTTCCGCCCCACCATCTCTCACTGCCATCACCCTACCCCCTCCTCCCACCTGGCTTAGGGATTATCCGTGTGAGCAGCCGTCCTGCCTGGGAACCACCCACCCCACCCCCAAGAGCATCCTCTCTGAGCGGCTGCTGGGGGCAGGCGCTCGGTCACCCCTGCAGACCACACCGCCTCCCGGCCCCGAGCCCGAGGGTGTGGTTTTGGGGTTTTTTGCCCCAACTCAACCCTTCCTCTTTTCAGCTCCCTGTCCGCAAAGGCCAACACGAAACGCCCGAACCTTTTTAAAGGGACGGCCTGAATCAGGAGGGGCGAACGGCTGTGCAGAAGAAATGGCGCCGCGTGTACACGTGCCCGACATGCGTGTAATGAGTAGTCTGAGAAAGGAACACAGAATGGCCGCGCGACGTGACACCGAGTCCCCTGCGGGACTGCTCAGAGCCGAGTGCGGCTGCACCTTCGGGCAGCGGCTCAGGACAGAACGGAGGCCCCGCCCCCCAGCAGGGCTGACTCCGCCCCCTGTGCAGACCCGAAGGTGGCGCTGCGCTCCCGGTGGCGGTGGCGGAGCACTCACCGTCCTGGAAGACGCGCTCCACGTTCAGGCCGTAGGTGGCGCACGTCTCGTAGTAGGTGCAGCGCTTCAGGTCGCTGGAGAGCTTCCGCGCCCGGGCGTCGTCGATGACCCGCGGGTTGGTGGAGCTGATGGCGTCTGGAACACAGGAGCGCGGGCGGCAAGGAGGTGAGCGCGGGCAGCTGCCGCTCCTCCCCCAGCGGCAGGTCGCGAGGAGCTCGATGCCTGCGCCTTGCCTGCGCCGAACCCGCAGTTTTCAACCGCAGTCTGCCCCCGAAACAACCCCTCGCACGCCAGGCCAGGCCCCATTACCAGGAATCTGCAGAGACTAGAGGACCCTGCTTCTGAAACGGAAGGGGAAGACTGCCCAGAGCTCCGGAAGGAAGGGGGGAGCATGAAAAGTGGCCCTGCAGGGAAAGACGTTAACAAGGGGAAAGCCCTCGGGGAGCCCACACAGGGGTCGGCTCTGGTTCCAGACAGAGACCTCAGTGCGCAGAGCAGGCAAAAAAAAAAATCTGCGCTCTCATGGCGGGGGGTGGAGGGGTGTCCAAGTCACACTGGGGTGGTGGGGGCAGAAAATAATCCAAGTGCATGGTGGGGACCAATGTAGGACGCTGCCGAGAGCTGAGCCGGCAGGGGTGGGTGAGGAGGTCCCGGAGCCCCGCCTTCAGGAGCGGGGAGGGGGTCCCCGGCCACCGCCCTGGCGTCCCACCAGGCCAGTGGACAAAGGTGTGATAGACACGCAGGCTTTGCGGGAAGCCGGTTTACGAGCCGTTAAGGAGCGGCCAAGGGGGGACCCTCCAGAGGCCCACATTTGGTCACCTTCATGTGGGCGGAGCTTCCTCGGTGCTCTGGGAATCAGGGCTCTGGGGAGGGGCGGAGGGTGCCCCAGGAGAGCGCCCCCCCCACTGGTAACACCATGTATGCAGACACCATGTCTGCCCGGCACGAACAAAGCCTCAGGCACATGGAGGGGACAGCAGACAGACCTCCACCTGCCCACCCCGCAGACACAGTCAAGGAAAGGGACCCAAGGGCCGGACCTCCCACTCAGCGCCCACTGCAGGGCGTCCCCAGGGCCTCCGTGGGGCCACCCAAGGCCCCCAGCAGACACTCGGACTGCCGGGCGGGAGGCTTGGTCGTGCCCTCCTTTGGCCGGGACACAGAAGGTCAGGCAGGGCTGCCGCGGGGAGACAGGTGCTCCCGCACCCAGGCAGGACTTCAGCGAAGCTGCCCGCGTGGCGTGATGAAAGGGACCAGAGCAGCCGCTTCACTGACACTCGCGTGCCGTGGGCGCTGGGGGAGCCTCGCGCAGACTGCTCCGTGGGACCCTTGCCAGAGCCCCAGGGGTCGCAGCCAGGAGGCAGGAGCCTCGCTCAGAAATGCCCTGGGCAGGAAGACACTGGAATGGATTCACTTCATCTTTCAGAAGCTTTAAGCAGGACCTGCCGTACACAAGCTACCCACTCCAAAACGTGATTAAGAATTTCCAAGTCACCAATTCAAGCCAATTCTGTGCTTTGGAACAGGGACTTTTTACAGGCGCGTCCTGTTTCCTCCTGGCCACTAGAGGGCGCTGAAGGCACACGCACAAAAACACACTCTCTTCTATTTGCTTTTAGGTTAAATCTCCTGAAGGTTTTAGTTATTGGACCACTAGCCATTTAAAAATATGCTTTAAAAAAAAGGCTGTGGGGGGAATGGGGGGGCGTGTTCTCTCCTTGACAGCCCGACCGTAACCCCTCACATCTGGTGCACCGAGGAAAGGCTTGCAGTCCCCTCCGAGGGCCAACATGCACCCCGGCTCTGAGACCGGGATCCCTCGACCCCCCAGCCGGGGGCCTGCCATGGCAGCCGGGCGCCTGCTGGGCTCTGCGCACCCCGACCCAGCGCAGCGGGGCAGCTGGCCGCTGCTGCCTGTCCAGACAGCCAGCTCTTGTCAGGGGGTCTTGTCGGGCGTGGAAGGGCCGACCCCTGCTAATCCTATTTTTATTTTGTGTTTGTTTTATGTGTATGTTTTCTGTTTTTGTTTTCTTTTTCAACAGGCTCACTCTAAAGGAATTAACAAAAATAGGTTATGAGCCAAAAACTGAGGAAGTAATCCAATTTTCCTGGACGTGACTTTTTTTTTTTTTTTAACTTACCTGTATTTGTCACAATGCAGTTTTAAGGGTAACCTTCCTCTGATTTTTAAAAATCTGACTTTTATGGGGTGGACACCAGGGTGTCAGCGAGTCTGTGGCCGAGGCAGGGACCCTCCCCCGGAGTCGCTTTGGCGAGAGAGGTTTTAAGTGGCCAGGAAGAAAACAACCAGCGTGCTCACACAATACGATTCTCCACTGTCTGGGGGGCCAATTAGATTTAAGATAAAGATGATGAGATATTAACAAATAGAGCAAAGTGAAACAGTTGCAATATGCCAGAAGCCAGCATTATTTTAAAGGGGCCCCAAAGGTGAGTCAACATAAGCCTTTTAGATTGCTTATGCACTTTATATAACAGAGAATTAACAGAAACACAGAACAGAAAACAGATTTTATTTTTTCTAGGGCACTCCGGGGGGCTGCGCACGTCACGTTGAGGCAGCTCAGTGATTTCTCCGCAGAAGCGACTCGGGAAATGGGGCAATTTCACGTTCACTGTCAAAAGTGAGCCTCTGGTGGGAAACTGCATCTTTGCAAATCCCTCCACGCCGAGCACAGAGACACGCCCACACTCACACGGGGCCCCGCCGCCGGGACCCCACACGCGTGGACGCGCGGCCGCCCGCACGCGCCACTCACCCTGGGTGCCCACCAGGACCAGCGGGACGTCGCCCGTGTTCCGGTAGCTGGCCATCCGGCTGTAGTAGTGGTACACGGTCTGGAAACTGATCTCGTCTTCCAGGCTGAAGACAAATATGACAGCATCCACCCACATGGCAAACTGGGGAGAGAAGAGGGGGAGGGAGCTCAGGAGTTGAGCGAGAGCCTCGCATCGCCTCTGGGAGCACACGCACACCCGTGGTGGACGGATGCCCCCTCCCACCTCGCCTCCCCCCACCAAGTCCGGCCAAGTCCGACGCCCGACTTCACGGCGCCCGGGGTGCCACGGCTTCGCCAGCACCCTCTCGTCCTGAGCACGACATGCCTGGTGCGGGACCCTTGTCCCCTTCCCACCCAGGACGCTCCAGAGAGTGCCGAGGAGGCACTCTGACCCATGGGACGCCCACCCTCTGTCCCAACTGCAGTCCTGCAGACGGAAGGCACCAGAGCCTTTCTGGGGACACGCTTTCGGTTTCACACCCAACCCCCCGGTGAGCCCCCAGGGAGCCTTGCTGGGCCCTGTGAGGTGGACAGTCCTCCCCTGGGCTCCCACAGGCTCCTCAGAACCACCGCCCCGCCCAGGGCCTTCGCCCCCGCCCGAGGAGGTCCTTCCTTGTAAAGCTCGGGCACCACGAACTCCTGCAGCCCCCTGCGAGGGCGTCGTGCGTTGTTACAGAAACGACCAAACTTGATGAAAATCAGGGAGAAAAATTGAAACCCAAGGGCGGCCTGACTCTTGTGCCATTTCCTTCTTGTTTTACCTGCATCCAGGCGAACCCACCCCAACCTGCTTTCCCGTAAGTAACCGCACTGTCCGGCTCGAGCCGTCCCCTGCGATGCCCACGGCAGCGCGCACGGTCGGAGCCCAGGGAACGGGGGTCCTCTCCTCGGCAGCCCCCCGCGTCACCGGGACGGGGCCGGAGTGGCACCAGACCCCCCGCTCTTCCCCGCTGAAGGGGAGTGTTTAAAACCCCATTTCCTTTCTTGAGAAGAGCCTGCAGCTCCCACCTCAGTTCCGGTGGCCAAGGGACCGGCTCTCACACATCTGGGGAAATTTTCAGTGGGCTAAGCTCCGACATCCCCATATAAATGCAGGATGTACCAGTTACGGGAGAACACCTGACATGATAAAACTTCAATAGACCTCAAGTTCGAATGACAAACTCAAAAGTTAAATGAGGACAAGAACTCAGAAACGGAGAATCCTGACAGGCCAGAGCCGACCTGACCGAACCTGATGTCCGTCTGTCCCGAGGCCCCGAGGACCAGTGACAGGGCCCCCCCTTTCTCCTTGTGGAGGGGAAGGGCACCTTCAGATGCGCGGGGTGGGGGTAGGGGGTCCCTGGGACCGGCCCTCATCTCCCAAGACCGAAGCTGCCATGGTCCAAACCTCCGTCCACAGGACACGCAAACAGGACCGTAACCTCTCCAGGGGCAGCTGACTGCCCGGCACCCGTGGGTGGTGGGCTCCATGGACACCCCGCCCCAGCTTCCCCAGCAACCGCCAAACAACCACAGAGCGAGTTCCCAAGCAGAAGTTTCGGACTAGCCTAGGACGGCACCCGCAGCCACACTCTCTCCGGATTTCACCCACGAGGCCACCGGCTGGGGGCGGAGTGCCCGCAAGGACACGGCGTCGTGAAAACGCAGCCCCACGTGCACGTGGGGGGGCGCGCCTGGAGGCGGCTTTCTCCCGGGCACAGGCAAGTGCACTCTGCCCGCCGCGCACGAGGCCCCTCACAGGTTTGGAAGGCTCCGCCCTGCCACCCCCCAGAGCAGCAACCTTCAGGGTGGGCTCCAGGCCAAGCAAGGCTCCGGAGAGAAGCTCGACTTAAATAAAGGACCGGCCCCGGGGGAACTGAGCGAACACTTCCTCGTGGCCGGAGGCCAAGGTGGAAACCCCACCCCAGCATGGCACTGCCGCTACCTCGGGGCGCTGGACGGGGCGTGCCCGGAGTCCCAGAGCTGACCCCTGACCCCTGACCCTGGCAGGCGCCCCTGACCCGGCTGGCGCGCACGCCGTGCCTGGCGGCACGCACTGTGTGAGCCGGACGGTGGGCACCCCCGAGAAGGGCGTTTCCCCACGCACGCTTTCTCGGGTCCGGGGTGCCGGCCGCTCGAGGAACCGTCAAAAGAAACCACGCTACGCTGCACGCAGGTTCCCAGAGGCTGACTCGGGAGGGGGGCACGCGGAGGAGGGGGGACCTCAGAAACTTCCAGACGTCAAGTCAACCGAGCTGACAAACCAGTGCCTCCCCTTCATCTTAAAACCAGGAGAGTGGCCATCAGCCGCACGGCCGGGCCTCCCTCGGGGCCTTATCTGGAGAAGAGCAGAGCTGGCGTCTCGGAGACGGGAGTTTCGTGGCGTTCCTCCGTCACCTTCTGCTGAGCGCACCGAACCAGTTCCTAAGCCCAGCTCCAAGGCCGGTGGTCAGAACCAGCCGGGCACCGGGCAGGCGGAAAGGCGGCCCGCTGGCGTGTAATACTCACCTGCGCCTCTGGGGGGCCCCCTTCATCTCTAATCAGCAGCAGATAGCTCTGTCCGTCAACCACAATCTCTTTCTTGAATCTGCCACCTGCCACACACACACAAAAAATCTCGTTACGCAGGAAAGACGGGGCGTGCGGGGAGCAGACAGACGTGGGCTTCGCTTGTGGGAAAATACACCCGGGGCCGTCGCCCGGGGGGCCGCCCTGTGCCTTTAGGAGTGGGTGTCGGAGCTGCCTCCGACGACCGCTGGGTCTCGAAAGACCTGAGCTCAGATTTGAGTATCCGTCTTAAAGAACCGGTGTCTGTTTCTGGTTAGAACGCACAGCCCTGCCCGCAAGGCCAGGGCGACGCGTGGCTGAGAAGAAGGGCGGAGTTTTAGCGTGTGCGTCCCTCCGGGGAGCCTCGCCCGCTGGGCGCACCGGGATGCGCAGGGCGCAGAGGCCGAGAGCCCCGAGACGGTCACTCTCTGGTTCTGGTTCGGTTTGCAAAAGAAACGAATTGGCCGCGCCCGTCGGGGGCTCGGGCTGCGACGTGCTGGCGAGTTCGAGGGCCGGGAACCTGTATTCTCCTCAAGGGAAACCCAGTTCTTGGTGCGGACACAGAACGCCACAGGATGGTGTTTCGCAGTCACAGCGCACAGGGAGGGGAGGGTGCCGACTACCACACACGGTTAGACAGAAACTACGGATGGCAGCCCTGCGAGGGGCGACAGAGCGGTGCAGCAGGCGGGCGGGGAGGCGTTAGGACCGGGCGGGTTAGTGGGAGGCCACCAGGAAGCCCCGCGGGACGAGGCGGGAGGGGCGGCCACGCGGAGGTGGCAAGGGCCGTCTGCAGACATCGGGTGGGGGCTCCCCGAGGGGCCACGCCACAGCCACAGCCACAGCCACAGCCACGCCCGTCTCCCAGCCCTGCCCTGGACCAGCTGGCCAGACAGCAGAGGTCGACCGCCACTCCGGGCCCCTCTGCCTCTGCGCAGAGAGGCCACCTTCCGGGACTCGGGGCTCCGAGTCCACCCCGGTGAACCCTCACCTGGTGAGCCCTCGCCGGGGTCCCGAGCTCCCTTCTAAGAGAGGGAGTGCATCGGTCCCTGCTCTCCCTCTCAGCTCCTGGCACAGACGCCTCCCGGAACTCCGTCACAACCCCAAAACACCAGGTGCTGGAGAGCCAGGGGCAGGACCGCCCATCGACCCCAGAGCCTGCCCGTCAGGGCCTCTGCCACCCAGAGGCCCATTTCACTTCTCCACCAGTGGCCCGACGAGGGGGACCTTCCATCCCGGCGTCCGGGGTCCGGATGCCGGGAAGCAGGCACCAGGGCCCCCACTGCGGCCGGCTGCTGTGCAAGGTGCCGGTGAGCCGGCCAGAGTGCGCGTGCGCACCCACACACACACTACACAGGCACACACATCCGCTCCCACACTCCTCTCTGGGCGCCGCTGAAGAGACAGGTGACATGCACTTGCTTTGCCGGGTGTTGGTTTGTTCAGTAACAGAAACCAAAGACAACTTCTCCGTATTAAAACCAAACAGATAATCTCCCATGCCGATCCCTCTCCACACCGTCGCCAAAGGAAGGGCAGAGCCTGCAGAACCAGTAAGCAGGAAACACTCCCGGGGGCGCAGCAGACCCGGGTCCAGACGACTCACTCACGGTCCCCAACCATAATCGCCAACTCCTCGTAAGTAAGAGACCTTAACGCCCCCTCCCAGCTGGGCTGTGGTGACCACAGAAGGAGCCAGGAGACACGGGGCACCAGACAGGAGCCCCCCCTCCTCCCCCACTGTGACAGCCACGGGACTGAGCAGCCAGCTCCCTGCAGGCCCTGGAACCGCCCACGCCTCCGTCAGCGCCCCGGGAAACTAGCACACCCCCCGCTGACAGGTTCCCGCCTCCCGCCAGCAGACTCGCCCCGTGGAGGTGTGCACGCTCCATCTCCCCCCTCTCCCGCCTCGTGCTCTGCGGTGGTCTCTGGCTCGGCAGCCTTGAGCCCAGGACCTCACACCTAACTTCGTCACCTCTGTAAGGTGGGAAAATTCCTTTTTACATCTGAGGCCCCCTCTGGTTCCAAGAACACTGCTCTACATGCCCCTCCCCCGAGATACAGCGCACCTGGGACAACTGCAATAGAACAACAGAAAAAAGATACAGTGTGCCTTTTCAACATTCTCTGCTTGCGAATGCCAGCCACTTGCAATGGGCTTGTATGATTCCTGCTGGTACACGTGCATGAAGAAATGAAAATGAAATACTTGTATCCATTTGCCACGAACCCAAAGACTTAGTAAGGAGGTAAAACTCAGCCAGGTGCTAAGCACCCCGGCTGCGAGGAAGGAGGGACGGGATGAACACGAGGTTCGGCTAAAACACACGTCCCTGTACCCCACTGAGGGCCGGCAGGCTCCCCAGCAGCAGCTCTGGATGCGGGGTGCTGGGGTTCGGTCAAGCGGCTGGATTCCTCGTGCAGCGACGCCGAGACCAGACGGGACAGAGCCACGATGGGCCTCTGACGTGCGTGGGCACGCGCCAGCGCCCCCTCTGCGCCACATGCTGCTTTCAGGGGGGAGGGGCGAACACAACCTCCCCCACTCCAAAAGGGGGTGGGGGAGGGGGCCCTGAGTAAACCGCGCCACAGACACTGGGCGTCTGTGTCTGTCACGCTGGCTCACTGGACCGAAAGCTGTCAGCGCGCCACCAACCGCCCACACGCCACCACAGTGTCGGTGATCCCGGCAGCACCTGACAAAGCACTTCCTGCCCATGGCACCTCCATGACCTGGGGTGACACAGAGGCCACCACCGACACCCAGTCTCTGGTGCAAGACACAGAGGTGCCCCCATGGGAGCCACGGCCCCGGGCCGGCCCGCGGCAGGGAGTCCCGGGCCACGCGGCCTCCTGCCGTCCTCTCTTCCCGGAACCTCTGCTCAGGCAAGCCTGCCCGACGCCGCCCTGCCGCACGTGGGGCCCCGCGGCCCCGCTGCGACTGTCAAGAGGCCGCGGGGCGGCCTCGGGAACGTGGGGGCCGCCGTGTCCTTACTCCACGCACTGTGCAGGAGGGGCCGTCTGCGGCCCCAAACTCAGCCCCGTGCTGGGGAACAGGACCAAGAAACCCACCTGCCTGTCGCTTTGTTTCGCTTTTACTTTCACTGTTCGTTTGCACGTTCCCTCACGTGCAAGCCAGCAAAGAAAACTGGTCTTGCAGGTGGAACTCCGGGGGGCCGCTTCCCCTCTGCACAGGAAAGGGGAGGAGCTCTATCCCAGCACCGGAGTGGGACGCTGCCCATCGGCCACGGCCCTGCCCTCGGGTGCGGGCCGGCCTCGGGTAGGCCCTGGCGGGGGCCGGTCTCCCCCCGCCACAGCTCAGAGGTTCGCATCCCCCCAAGACGTCTTCACCCGTTTGCCTGACGCTTTCTCCTCCTCACTGATCCCCAGATTGCGCTGCGTCCTGAAGTCCAGTGGGACCAGAGGGCCGCGGCGGAGGGACAGCGACCCTTTTTACTTCTCCCTACGGGAATGCTCAAACATTTCTATCGCAAACATGCCGGGAATTTTTAAAAAATTAATTCTACTCTTTTAGGTTTGATAAAAACACTAATGTCAGAAACTTGCTAACATTTTTGGAGAGGTTTTATATTGTGACCTTTAAAAGAAATGGCAGACCACATGTTATTTTTACACTGGGAAAACATTTCATCGGTAACATTTTAGTTGACCAAGTTTGACCAAGTCAGATTTCATCTCCTCTGCCAATTTTTTTTTAAACTCACAGATTTTTTTCTTCTTAAGTAACTACTGTGAAACGCACCGACAAGAAGGGCCGCGTGTGAGGCGGCTGCTGTGGTCTCCACGGCGACACTCGGGTGGCGGCCGTGGGGACAGGAGGACTCCCGGGGAGGCCGGGTCTCTGAGGAGCCTGTTTAACCGACACCGAAGGTGGTGGAGACTGATGGCTGGCCAACGGGATCCAGGGTGGCCGCCTGTCCCTTCTGTGGTGCCCCGACCGTGAGGGGCTCCTGCCTCAGGAAGCCCCAGCCAGCGGGGGGCTCCCCGCACCCCACGTCTGACGGGCCTGAGAGAGGGGGAACCCGGACTGTGCGGCCGCCCCAGAGCAGGGCCGGGGCAGCGCCCACCTCAGCAGGGAAGGGCCGGCGGGGCGGGGCGGGGCGGGGGGGGGGGGGCGGCGGGGACAGCAGGCCCAGAGCGGCAGGAGGGGAAGGGGAAGTGGGAGGCGGCGGCAGGAAGGGGGCGAGCGAAAGCACAGCCAGTGGAGGAGAAAACGAGCCCCGGAAAGCAGAAGGAAACCCCTCACAAGTGCTTCCACGCCCCACGCAGCTCCAGGACAGGCAGGCAGAAAGACGAGGACTCGGGGGAGGGGGGGGTGACACGGGACGTGATGGGGGGGCGGGGGAAGTGGAGAGCCCCGAGCTCAGGGTCAGCCTGAGGGTCCTCCTTGCTGACTTGGACCCCACCTGGCTTTAAACCCTAGCTGCGGAAACCCTCTCCCCACCCCGAGACCCAGCCTCCCCACCAGAGTCAGCAACCACTGAGACCCCCGAGGGAGCAGAAGGCAGGAGCCCGGACCTGACCGACGGTCACAGGTCATGACCTCTGCGGGTTAAAGGGCACGTCTTGACCTGAGTCAGGTCTCAGCCCCCGAGCCCCGAGGTGGAGCGACCCCCTGGCTACTCTCCCACGAGAGCACACCGAGGGACCTGGGGACAGACCTCAGAGCTGTCCTCAACACCTGGGGGGCGATTCGTCACCCGGGCCTCACCTCCGGCCAATCAGCTCCCAGCGCCGCCCCGAGCGCCCTAGATTCAGTGCCCTGCGACCTGCCCTGCGGAATCCGTCACCCACTGCCCTCGGGGAGTCCTCCATTCTCCTGGGTGACGTTTGTCATGACAAAGGGGCCACACGTTCCTCCACCTCCATTCCCGGTGTCCGGCGTTTGGGCTGTGCAGCCCCAGGGGCCCAGCCCCTGCTGCCCTGTAACCGGGACCAGAAAAACTGCAGGAGGAGCAACTACGGTGTGAAAAGGGACCAGAGAGACATGGCCAAACACTCGGTTTCCCACATTGAGAAACGGCTTGAAACAAACCCAGTCCATGAGATTGAAGGGACAGAAATGAAGTATTTGGAAGCTAACGGGCAGGCACGCGGCAGCAGCAGCCCCGCGGAAGGAGAGCGCGGCGTCTCCGACAACCACCCCCGACAGACCACCTGAAGGCTCTCCGGAGAGGACGCGCAAGGCCGCTCTCCTGGAGCGCAGGACGACCTCCACCCGCGGATGAAACGACGCTCCGGACAGAGCCACAGAGACCCGCCGTGGCTGTGAGGGTGGGACAGCGGAGGCCCTGGGGACGGCCCTGGAGCACCTGCAGCCAGGTTGGAGCTCCTCACCCAGAGCACCACCCATCCAAGGGGCCGTCTCCGGAGGATGCAGAGATTTTTGAGAACGGCTTGTTGAAGCACGTCCTGTGCGTCCATAACTGGCTTTGAAGCTGTACCGCAGTAACAGCCGAGGGATGTCACACACCGAGAGCCCAGGCCCATGTGACGGGCGGGCTGGACGCCGGGAGGGCTTCTGTTCGGGGTTCGGCTTGGGACTTCCAGTCCCCCCATTCCCGCTGCGTCCATGCTGTCGGACCTGGCTAGTGGACGAGCAGCCCGAGGTTGGAAACAGGCCGCCCTGGCTGGTGTGGACTGAGCGCCGGCCTGCGAACCCAAGGGTCGCCGGTTCAATGCCCAGGCAGGGCACAGGCCTGGGTTGGAGGCCAGGTCCCAGTGGGGGGCACGTGAGGAGCAACCACACATGGATGTTTCTCTCCCTCCCTTCTCCTCTGCAAAAATAAATAAAATCTTAAAGTAACAACAATATAATCTTTAAAGAAAGAAAAACCGGCGGATGTACACATGTCTAACGTGCCATCTGTGGGGAACCACGTTTACGTGACATTCAGCAAACGAGACCAAAGCTAATAGGAGGCAGAGGCGGCCGTCAGACCGGAACCGGGGACAACTCTGGGGCCCTGTCCTGTGTTCACCGAACCAGCCGCACTGCCTTGTCCTTCGTCAGCCGCGAGTCCTGAATGTATCAGCCGGGACAAGTGCCAGGGCTTCGGTGGTCTGCGTGCACCTGGGCGGGGATGCAGGGCAGCCCCACGCCGCCGCCCGTGAAGACACTTCTCAGGGACGGCCCACAGGGGCGGCGGCCGGCACCGACACACTCCACGGGACCGGAAACCACCGCACCGAGACGGGCGCACTGACGGGGGGGAAAACACCTCCGTGTGTGGGGACAGCGGGAAATCAAGGCTTTTCTCATCTGCTTCCAGAAACAACCGCCACGGTTCCTTCCTGCTGCCATCTGGAGGCCCACCCAGGCCCCGTGGACAGGAAGCAGGAGTCGGCTCCCCAGTCTGGTTCAGGGGACAAAGGCGGGGCCACCTGCCTGCGTCCGGGCAGGCACGGGTGGCCGGCCCCTGGGGAATGGGGACTCGAGGGGGCGGAGGGGCTTCCAGGCACAAGTCAGCCCCGGAGGCCCCAGTGAAGGTCAGCTGGGGCGCACCCCCGCAGGCAGGCCACTCCGAGCTCCCAGCACCCCGAATCCCCTTGCCCTGGAGGCAGTCAGCGAGCGGGCCGGGGCCAGGCGGCCGTGGGCCATCATGCTGCTGCTCCTGCCCCAGGAGGCCCTGGGCACGGGGCCCTCGGGGGAACGGGACACTTAATCACCCACCGTGCGGAGGAAGAAGGACGCCCTTTCTCACACACACACACGCACACACACGCAGGCTCCCCTACCCTCTGAAATCACACACCTGAAAAGCTGCACACGACGCCACGGAAGTCAGTGGAGTCGAGTGTGGTGCTTGAAAGACCGAAGGATGGACTATCACGAGATGGTGGTCGGGGTACAGCTTTCACGTCCCGTGAACGAGAACATGCAACACAGATGCCTTCGCGCTCCCCGACACGCGAGGCCAGTGGCAAAGACACCGCGGCCGGGCCCCCGGCAAGTGACGAGGCGGGACCCACGCAAAGGGGAGAGGCGCAGCCGCAGCGCAGGTGACACGGGGCGGGGGAGGCGTCCCTGAGTGAGACCACCGGCGACCCCGGCGCCAACCACGCCAGAGGCGGGACCGACTGGCAGAGGGGCACGGGCACCGTGACAAAGTCGGGTGGGGCTGGACTCGGAGCACGGCGGGGGGTGCGGGCGAGGAGGCAACTGTTCCCCTGCAGGCAGGCTGCCCAGGCCACTCCCCCCGACCCCACTGCACGTGTCACCAGCCTCCACAGCAGCCGCACCCACGGGACACACGGAAAACCCGACTCGGGGGAAGTCACAGGCGCGCCGGAGCCGAGGGTGCAGCCGGCACAGGGACAGACCCGGCGGGGGGGGGCAGAAAGCCCACCCACGCTCCGCCCACCGCCCCCCTCTCTCCAGACCACGCAGCCTTCTAGCACCTGCCCGCACTTCTCCCCCTGGACGGCACCTGTCTCCTTCTTGAACCCCACCTGCTCGCCTCTGTGCTCCCCCACCCCGGCCTCCCCGAGCCATATGCTCAGCCTCCCCCTGGCACGGCGGCCGCCACGGGGCTCGTGCGCGCTGGCGAAGCCCCACGAACTCACGGCAGAGCCCGGGGCGAGACCAGAGCACCCGCCCCCCCCGCCCTTCCCTGCATGGCCCCGGTCCCCGGGGCAGGGGTTAAACGCTGGAACAGGTGTTACAGGCAACAGGGGAAGCTACTCGGACTACGGCTAAGAACACAGCTAAAGGACGAAACAGGGGGGATGTGGAACTTAAAAAGAAAAAGGCAAAACGAAACCCAACAGGATGAGGCACAGGACGGGGAGGGGGGGGTGGCGCCGAGGCGCGGGGCTCGCCTCTCCGCGCTCTCCGCACGAGACAGGTGCCGCCACGAGGGAAGGGCATAGTTACCTGCGTCCATGTCTGCAAAGAATGGAACAGCCGGTGAGAGAGAGAAGGAACCAGAAATTCAGTGTCTCAGAGTTGGATTCGAAAAGGTTACACGGAGAGAAAACATAACTCAGAAAAACTACACGGGGACTGCGTGGGTGCCTATCGTTGCTGTGCTGCGGTTAAAGCGAAAATAAAAAACTCTTTTATCTGCAGAAGGAAAAACCTGCCGGCACGAGAAATGTCTTACTTCCGTGCAAAATAATCGTGACCTACGTGTAGCACAACACAGAAGGGAGACATACTCCAACACGCGGTTTCCTGAATGGCCCGTGTCCGGGGCTGAGCCACGAGACACGCGAACTACGTCTAAGCTCAGCGTCCAGGGCAGAGCACTGGCCGAGCAGTATCTCGGGGCGTGAGGCTGGATTAACGTCTGCAAGGGCCGCTAGCAGGGAAGAAACGGGTTCGAGAGCATTTCGTGGTCTTATTCTTGCTCCAAATGCTGCGGCGACTCTGACGGGCCGGCTGCACACACTACAGGAGGAACGGTGCACCTAAGGACCTCCCCTGCCCGGTGCCTGGTTCCTCCCTCGACAGCTGACCCGTCAGGGTACGATTCAGGATACAGTTACAGGGAACGTTACAAAGCTAAGCTCTGCTAAGCGCGAGCCCGCCCGCCCGACGGCGTACCTTCGGGAGACTCCTCCTGGACGTAGGTGCCGGTCAGGTAGCGGTGCACCAGCGCCGACTTGCCACTGGCCAGGTTGCCCACGATCCCCTGAAACAGAGCAAGGGACGGCCGTTAGGTCTATGCGCAAGGGACGGCCGTTAGGTCTACGCGAGATCACGGCCACGTGTAGGCTGGAGGGTCAGACACGGGCTGCGGAAGTCCTGCTGGCAGAGAGGAAGGGGCCGAGGCCCCCTCCTGGAGAGTCCACGCGGCGGGTCCACCAGGGAAGGAGCCTGAGCCGGTGCACGGTGCATTGTGAACCCTCTGCACCCTGACCGCGGGGTGCGGGGTGACGTGGGCCACAGCGGCCGACCAGAGCATGTGGGGCTGAGAAGCATGTCCCAGGCATGTCAATCACGGCTGCAGAGTGGGAGCTCGGAGCCGGGTCAGACGAGGGGAAAAGAGCTGCACGGGTGAATGACCCCGAGGGGAGGGCCGGGAGCGGCGTGGCAGGCACAGGCCGAACAAGCGCGAGAGCCAGGCAGCTGCTCTGAACACGGGGAGCTGGCCGAGGGACGGAGAAAGGGGACCCCGGTCTTGCCAGACACAGAGCTCCTCTCGAGAGTCAGGGTGCCGAGAGAGCAAGCTGCAGCGGCCGGGCGGGCGTGCGCGCCGTCGGCTTCACTTAGGCCAAAGCCGTCCTCAGGAAGGGCTCCCGCGACCACGACCAGATGCCTGGGTGGGAGGTGGGCGCCCCCAGCTCCGACGTTCCCGCGAACCTGGGCCTTCCCTTCCCCCGGGTTTGCTCGGGGTCTCCCTCCTCCCCCACCTTCTCCGGGGAGCTGCCTCTGAAGAACACCTTCCCATCTTTCCATCTTTTCCTCCCCCACTAGGAATCTCCCGTCTGTGTTTCAGTGTGACCAGATCCACTTTTTGAGAGAGACAAAGCAAAACAAGAGACCCACCCATGCCTGCCATCTGGAGGCCAGCCCCAGGCAGACTCTCAGCAGCACTGGTTGAATGAGTGCATGAGTGAATGACTGAGTGCATGAATGAATGGACGAGCGCCCGAGTGAGTGAATGAGTGGGTGAGTAAATACACGAGTGAACGAGTGAATGACTGAGTGCATGAGTGAATGAGTGCATGAATAAATGAGTGCATGCATGAGTGCGTGAATGAATGAGTGCACGACTGAGAGCATGAGTGAATGCATGAGTCAGTGAGTGAATGTGCATGAGTGAATGAACTAATGTGAATGAATGACCGAGTGCGTGAATGAACAAGTGATCAAGTGAATGAATGAGTGAACATGAGTGCATGCATGAGTGCACGAATGACAGTGAATGAGTGCACAACTGAGTGCATGAGTGAACACGAGTGAATGAATGAATGACTGGGTGAATGCAATGAGTGAATGAGTGAACAAATGAGTGAGTGAACAAATGAGTGAGTGAATGAACAAATGAGAGTGAACAAATGAGAGTGAATGAACAAATGAGTGAATGAACAAATGAGAGTGAATGAAGAAATGAGTGAACAAATGAGTGAATGAGTGGGTGAATGAGTGGGTGAATGAGTAAATGAGTGAATGAACAAATGAGCGAATGAAAAATGAATGAGTGAATGAACAAATGAGTGAATGAGTGAACAAATGAGTGAATGAGCAAGTGAACAAATGAGCAAACGACCCCGACAGCAGGCAGCCTGAACCGGTGGCTGCACTCCCAGGGCCGAGCGCGGGCCTTGGTGGGCAGAGCCCAAATGAAGCCGTTTCCCTTCCTGCTTCGACCGGGCTGTCTTCCTGCCTCGGGCCCCTGTAACCCCAGAACTTCTCTCCCTATCAGTTATTCTTCCGCTCAAGGGCACCCGCCGTTTGTCAGCTTCACGCTGAGGAACCCGGAACAGTGTGCCACAGAACTGAATCTTTAACTAAGACCAGAGCTTCTCTTCGCCGAGGAGGAAAACGCTCAGCATCACACCCCAGCAGCCGGGCTTTCTGAGCGTGGCAACGGCCCCTCCTCCGTGCGTGCCCACGACTTGCGGAGCTCGGGCCGGCCCCTCGGGAGGCCCAGATCCCTCGGGCCGGGGGCCAGGGGATGGGTTTGCTGGGGCTTGAACCAACCCCCCCTCGGACCGTCCCAGGTGCGCACAGCACGGGCACAGACCAGCAGCCGGCCGAGCAGAGGAAACGAAAGGACGAACGAGGATGCGCCGCCGTCAGCGGCTCAGCTGCCCGGGGCCCAGGAGCCGCCCCCGGGCGCAAACCGGAGTGTGCGTGCTGCTCAGCCGGGGTGTCCTGGCTCCGTGGGGAGCACTGAGGCAGCGTGGTGAAGGTATACTGGCAATTCTGGGACAGAACTACGCATTCCAGGTGGCCAGGGCCGTGACGGCCAGCTGTCGTCACCCTCTGGGCAGGGCCACAGGCCAGCCGGACTCCAGCTCCCTGTCGCCGCCTCCCAGGAGGAAGGGGAGCATGTGTCCCAAACGTCCCCGCTCACCCGCTGCACCTGCCGCTGGCTGGAAAGGAAACCCAGGCTCCCAGTAAGAACTCCAGGTGGGAACTCATGGAACACACACAAGCAGCATGTGACAGGCGGCTGGCCGACACATCCCCTTGCACGGGCTAGGTGCCCGGGGTCTCCACCCTCCTGCTCAGACGGTGGCATCCACTGTGCGCCTGGCACCCAGGGCCCGGCCTGGGGCTCCACGGTGGCACCAACTGCAGCCGTCACCGGTGACCTAACCCCAGCACGACTTCAGGACCCACAAGGCATGGTACCAGCGCTCTTGAGAAGACAGCAAACAGTGAGACTTCTTTCTCTGGCAGATTCCAGAAGACGGGTCTCGAAGGACAACATAAAGAGCCCATTGGAGGCGTGCTATTATATCGCTCAGCTGCTGCGTTCGTGCAAAGGAGTCTTGGGTTCCGAAGGCACTGACCTAAGGGGCCACCTGTGTGTGTGTGTGCAGAGGGGGCGGCACTAGGGCAGGAGACAACCGCAGCCCTGTGGACGGACACACGGGCCGTCTCTGAACAAGGGGGCGCCTTCTGCCGATGCGGGCGGCTCTGCAGCAGGGCACGCCTCTGCCCCACAGGCTGAGCTGTCTGTTGCCACCGCTGGGCCGGTGCCCACCTGCAGGTCGGGGCAGGACGCAAAGAATGCCCCCCTCAAGTCCTGCGGAGTCACTCACACGTCCTCGTCCACGGGTGGGATGGACCCCAGTGGCGAACCTCAGCTAACACTCAGGCAGTCACTCTGGGGGAGCCGAGTCCACACCGCCCCCTGACGGAACCACCTCCGCTTCCCCCAGCCTTCATCTCAGACCGCTGAGCGCTGTCCCAACGCCGGCCGAGGAGGTCTGCGGCAGTGAGCCGCCTCGATCACAGGCCGGCCTGGCGCTGGGGGCTCCGGCGGCGCCCCCGACACTGCTGACTCTCACAACCAGGTCTGTGTCCGAGGGTTCGGACCTCAGCGGGCCGTCAGCCAGTCAGTCGCGTGGCCGCTGGCCACAGGTGGCCATGCCAATTTAAATGGGCAAGAACTTGAAATTCAGCCCCTCCGTCACCCAAGCCACACGTCAGTGCTCCCCAGTCACGCGGGGCAGGGGACGGCGAAGACGGAGCACGTGTCCTCACGGTGCGGGACGTGCTTCCGGCAGGGCTGGCGCAGGCTCAGGCTCCCGCTCACCCCCGGCGCCGCCCTTGCGTGTGACCGGGTGCTCGGGCCAGTCCTTGCGGCCCCCGAGCCCCCACTTCCCCGTCTGCGGAGGGAGTGGTCGGGAGGAAGGGCGGCGACAGGCGAAGCGCCCACCACACGCCCGCACGGAGAAGGAGCCTCGTGGGGACCGTCATCGCTGTTGTCATGGGGATGTCGTTCCCGTGTTCCCGCCCCTGGCAGGACCCGGGGTGGCACTGTGGTCTCACGAGTGAGTGTGTGTGTGTGTGTGTGTGTGTGTGTGTGTGTGAGAGTGTGAGGGAGAGAGGGAGAGGGGGAGAGAGGGAGAGGGGAGAGAGAGGGAGAGAGGGAGAGAGGGAGAGAGGGAGAGAGGGAGAGAGAGGGAGGGAGAGAGAGAGCGAGGAGACACACACACACACACACACACACACACACACACACGACAGCAGACAAAGGACTGACCCCCACGCCCGTGCACAGGAGGCCGAGGCCGCCCTGGCTGGATGCGCAGGCACACGCGGGGCCCCGGCCCTCCCAGGGACACCCCCACCCAGAGGTGAGCTGCACCTCGGGGCCCCGGGGCTGCGGGTCTGAGTGTACTCACAGGTCGCCCCAACTGTGCGGAAGCCCCCCCACCACACACAGGGACACGCGGCCGCCGTGGCCGGGGAAGCACTCACCACTTTGAGCTCCGGGACGGAGCGGCTGAGCGTCCATTCCTGGCTGTTCACGAAGGCGTCTGTAAAAAACAGGAGGGGACACGGAGTGAGACTCGCGGCCGACTGGAGTGCGAGGCCGAGACGCCCCCGGGGGCCGCTTTCCCCACCGGAGGACGGACAGGCTGCCGGTGCACACCACTCTCAGCGGGCCTCACGGCCACCCCAGAGAAAGTGGGGTTCCTGGGCCCCCACGGCGGTCCCGGGGCCGCGTCTGCGTTCTGCCCCCTAAACCGTAAGGCCCGAGCCGCCCAGGACCCCGAGGGGCCGCCGACGGTGACTTTCCTCATCTCCAGGCCCCTGCCGGCCGGACAGGCCCACGCGGCCAGGGGGTCCTGGCGGCCCACGCTCACGGGTGGGGACAGTCGGGAGGCTGCCAGCTCCCCGGGGCTGACCCTGTCAGGGCCGACTGTGCGGTTTCCCGCCACAGGTCACTTGCGCGAACCGCGCCAGCCAAGTCGGGGAGGGGGAGGACTGGGTCCTGAAACCCCATGCTCATGGCGGGACACCCGGCACCGCGGAGCAGAGCGCTCTGACGTCCCGTTCCTCTCCGACGCCCCGGACGCGGAGGACGCCAGGAAGAAGAGGGGGCCCAGCCTGGCTGCAGCCTGCAGCCTCTGCGCAGTGTCTCCCGCCCCCGCCTCACCCCCCACGTGCGGGTCTGGGGGACCCGCTCAACACAGCTGACCCCAGCACCCTCACCTCCCGCGCCCCCATGGGCCACTTCTCACGGGTGAGACCACGGGCCTGGGAGTGGGGCCCAGCAGCCGCTCCAGGGCCCCCGAGCCGACGGCAAACACCTCTCCCCCCAAAGAGGGTGCACTCCCCCCCACGTATTTTCCACAGGTTCACAGTGCTCGTCCCCTCCATCACGTCCACGAAGTAGTCCAGTGACACACAGAATGCCCATGAGACACTGCCTACGAGACCTGTCCCAGGTGCGGCACCTGCCCAGGCCCCAGCGCTCCACGAGTTCTGCAGCCGCCCGCAGCCAGCACTGCCCCGCCCAGCACCGCCCTGGGGAAGCAGGGTCCTGAGAAGCTGGGGCCACGAGCGAGCCGTCAGGAAACACCCTGACAGAAGCTGGGTGGGAAATGCAGGGGAACGGGGGAGGGGGGAGGGGGGAGGGGGGAGGCTGCCCCGGGGTGGTGGGGGGGCAGCGGTAGTCAGCAGGGTGTCTGAGGGGCTGGCACTGAGGGACCAGGACCTGGAAAACGAAGAGCGGACGGCGGGGGACAGTGCCCAGGCCAGGGGGATGGCGAGAGGGGTGTCAGAGACAAGAGGTGACGTGGGCCCAGGTGGTGGAGGTGCGGGAGGGAGGTGGAGGGAGGGAGGGGGGCAGAAAGGCAGAAGGGTGGAGGGGCAGCCCCCCAGATCAACTACGTGAGGGCAGGTGTCCAGGCAATGGGGAGGAGGGAAGGGGGGGCGCCACATCGATGTGGGGGGGGCAGGCGAGTGCGTGGTGGGGTGCGCCTTCACGGATGGTGATCGCGGGCACTGGGGGACCAGTCCCCATGTGGCACCTGCCAGGAGGTCCCCCATTGTCTGGCTTTGGACACACAACACATCTCCCAGAGAAGCCCCCGGGGGGGCATTCGAAGCCGGACTCGCTGTGCGCGCTTGGTGTCGGACCCCCGCTGCGGGGCGGCTCTCAGCCTCTGAGGAAAGCCGTGCGGCCCGGCCGCGCCGTCTACCTGTGGCTGGATGCCTGGCCACTGACCTCTCGAGACGGTGCTCATTTCTCTGCAAAGCTTCACGCACGCTCAATGGTTGCTTCTAGGAAACTTAACTTGGCATCTACACCTCGCCTCGAAGTTTCCCGGGTGTCACCAGCTTCCCGCTGTCCCTGAGCTCAGTCAGGGCTGCACCCCAGTGGGTGAGCTGGGGGCCGGTGGGGGAGGGGCGGCAGGACAGAGGCCGCTGGGAGGACGAGGAGGCAGGAAACTGAGCCTCGGGTCCCCAGAGCAGGGGGCCCGGCTCTCCCCCCTGGAGGCCTCTGCCGCCGACGTGTGCCCTCAGCACCAGGTACCCGAGTGCCCCCCCAGCGCCCTCCATGAGGCCCTCGCCGACAGGGGACCTGGTGCATCCACAGAGGACGCTGGACTAGCTGAGGCCCAGCCTGCTGCGTGGCTGGGGAGGTAGGAGGAGGAGGGGTGAATCAAGGCCGCAGGCTCCTGGGAGCCCCAGCTGGACGCCGGCCCATCCCAGGTTGAGGCCATGGACAGGTCTGGAGGCCGCTGTGCCAGCTGCACACCTGCTTGTTGCCGTGGCAGCACGTGCGCGTCCCCACCTGCGAGCGCGGTGCCCTCCCGGGATGGACAGTGTCCGTCTGCACAGACGCCGCGGCGGGCGGGAAGGTCCCAGCATGCTGCCCCTACCTCAGAGCTGGGGTCCCTGGTCCCTCCGGAGGGGGTACTGTCCTGGGCCCTGCCCCACCGAGGGCAAGAAATCGGGAGGGAGGGGCAGAATCTTCCAGTCGACAGCCCCCACCCACTGCTCTCAGATCCCAGCTCACGGCCTAATCGTAGAAAACTGGGGACCGACTTCCAGGAAGGCTTCTGGCACATCTAAAATAGCAGCCGGGACCCCTGCCAAACCCGCAGGCCCGGACTCACTGTGTGCACGCGGCCGGATTTAGAGCGCTGAACATAAAGCCACCGATGCGGACTTCTCAAAACCAGGACTGGACTGGACTGGGGGGGGGGGGGGGCGGGGAAGTCAGGAGCAAAGAAGAAACACAACTGTTCACCCAGGGATCCGGCAAGGAAAACAAAACCTGAAGACCAACGCGCCCACCGCACGCCGACGCTGACTCCGTCTCCCCAGTGGGACGGCTGCCCGGCCGGGCGCAGCCCCCAGGGCAGGGGTGGCTGCCGGAGCGTCTGCGCCCCAGAGGCTGAGGTGCTCACCCGCCCATCCTCCGGGGCTGGGGCCGAGAATAAACCACCCTGTGCGACCTGGTTATCCCTTTTACTTTCAACTAAACCCTGTGCCTAAATGTTTCAAGTGTAGAAGAGCGCAAGCTCAGACCTGGGCTTCGCCTCTGTGACACAATGTTGCCTTCCGGGACAGGCCTGGGGCCCTCAGCGGGTGCAGGGGTGGGGGGGGAGGGGCAGGCGCTCGCCTTGGAAACAGTGGGGGGGGCGGTCGGAGCCCCTTCTAGTCCAGCTCTCCAGGGTCGCTTGTTTTAAAAACGTGCCCTCTGAATGGTAAAGGGGAGGTCACACTTGGGCCCCAAGTGTGAGCCGGGAAGTAAGAGCCCCCTCCCCCTCCTCGATCAGAGAGAGCCGCCCCGCTGTGGCCCCCGGTGACTGGGCAGAAGGGGCTTCTGTCGCCCGAGCTCCCGGTCACCCGCGCATTTACCGCCGTGTTACCTTCATTGAACGCATGCAGCTGTCAGACAGATCTACCACCAGATAAAATCAGTCCAGAGGAAATAAAGAAGGTTATTTTTTAAAGCATCAACGCCACCAAATGTTCTTAAACGCACAGCACAGACCAGAAAGCAAAGCATGCGGCCTGACACCTGGGCCCCAAGTCTCCCAGGCAGGGGCGCAAACCGTGGGCGAGCTCACGGCCCTCCTGCTCAGCCGGCCCTGCCAGCCACATCCCCCCCCCCGCCGGGCGCGACCTGACATGCACACACCAGTGTGCACAGGCGTGCACAGGAGTCCACCGCCACTGTGGCTGTGACCACTCTGAACAGGAGAACCACCCTCGGGGGGGGGGGGGGCCACGGGACAGACCCCTCACGATGGCGGGGTTAAGAGGCAGGCGTGGTCTGGGAGACCCTGACGGCGGCGGCGGCCTCGGGTTCCGCTCAGCCTCCACCTCAGCCCCACCCGTCTGCACGTCCCTGTGAGCTCCCTCTCTCTGCAGACGGCCGACCCAGCCTCCCGATGGCTGGGACAGGGACCCACTGCTGCCGGAACCACGAGACCGGCACGCGGAGAGCTTCCCCGGGGCCCAGCCCGGCAAGCAGCACGCAGGTGTGGCGGTGGAGGCTGTGACCGCCTTAGTACAGCCCAGCAGCAAAACCAGGCTAAGAACAGACACGGCCGGCCGTTCCCCAAACAGCAGCTGGGTGGCCGGCGCACCAGGACTTCACACACCGCCCTCTGCCCCTGGCCCCTCCGTGGTCCTTCCCCAGGGCGCCGTCCCTCCGCTGCCGTGGAAGAGGCGGCGACTCCCTGCCGGGCATTCGACGTGTCCCTGGAGACACAGGACGGATTTCAACTCCGCAGCCGCAGGAGCACCCGTGCATCGGTCACAACGGGCACAAGCCACTGCCCCCACCTCCAGGCCTCCCGGGGGCCGGACGCTCTCAGCAGAGTCTGCGCGGCCTGGCTGGGGGCCCGGGGCGGGAGGACACGGCCGGAGCGTGCTTCAAGCACGGGGCTGGCGGGGGCCTGGCCGACTCCAGGAAGAACGGGAGACGGAAGGAAAAGTGCTCCCCACCCATGTGCCCAGGACCCCGGCACTCCGACAGGCACGCCGAGGAACCGGACACGGAGGACGGGTGCCCCGGCTGGCTCTCGAGGACGGGACAGAAGGTCCGGCCCTGCTGGTCCGCGCACACGGGGGCGGGGGGGCGGGGGGCGGCCATCCCGGACACCTGGTGCTGAGGACAGCCGCCTGCCCGCCTGCCTGCCTGCCACGTGGGCCTTCCTTCCCGAAGAGACGCTCGGGGATGGAAGTCTTGAGGCCAGCCTCCTGTCTGCGGGTGCGCAGGCAGCCCCGCCCACCACCCCCGCGAGATGGCATGATGAGCCGGTGTCACACGGCGTCACCTGCATGTTTGGTCCAATTACAATGAACACGTCCACCCGCGGAAACTCACCCAAACTGGATGTCCTGGGCCAAAACAGGGACCCTAGGGAAAGTGAGGGTTCCTACCGGGGCAGGTCACGCTGGGGCGTCCCAGGCCAGAGGCTCGGTAGCGAAGGGGGTGCTTCCGCCCGAAGCCGGCCCTGCCCTTCGTGTCCGCACGTCCAGGCCCACACGGCTGCGCAGCGAGCCAGTC